CCGCCACGTAGGAAGTCAACTCATTATGGTCATACTTAGTCGCATTACTAACAGAAAAGTTGACGGAGAATTAACGTTTGGATAATTTTTAGGAATTCAATAGGTTTGGTTAAAATAAAAGAATCTGAAAAAGGTTTGGGTAAAAAATAGATATTGCCCTACATTTTTTACCCACCCCTCTGTCATCATTGTTCAAACTTCAATTGGTTTCTTTCAATGACAAACATCCCTTAAATTTGCTGTTTTGTCTAATTTAGTCATCGATAATATATCGTTATACGATTTCACAATTCATTTATCTTTCAATTTTAAGGAATTAGAGACTTTGTAATACAAAATATCAATGTGATTGTAATATAAATACGTCTACGAAAGAATTGAGTTATTGCGATAAAGGTAGGAAAATTGAAAAGATGAGTTTGTTCTATTCGGCATATTGGATATTTGAAAGAATATAACAAAGTAATAATAACAAGAGAGTAGGTACAAAGAAAAAGAACACCAAGCATGTACTGGAATTAATCATGGATCTCGATGCAATCCTGTAGAATATATTATATCAGCACATAGTTAATTAACTGGGGACATATAGTTAGTGGTTAACCATAATATTATCTCTTTCATTAATTAAGCAAACAAATTAAACTACTAGTTGGGGTAAAGAATTCCTTGATTAGCTTTTCATTAATGGGGTGATGATGCTCTGCAATTAGCACATGCATACAGTTATTTACAAAGGAGAAATAGTGAATTCTATTGGCTTAGACGGAGTATTGATTTATTTATGAATGTCTTAATTTCTTCTCCTTAATTATTTGTTCATTTTGTTTTTTTTATTTGACTTGTATTGTAAGAAAATTGATATACGAGAACCACAGCCATTCCGCTGTTATATATGGTAACCTTTGACTCTTCTTTTGAACCCAAAGAGGAGGAGGAGAAGACAGCCGAAAAAGTGAGGTCTTATTAAAAAAACATAGAGCTCGGGTACCATTTAGTTAGTAAATGGAGGCTGGTTTTAGAGATTTTGGTTCTTAGTATTGTACAACAATACGTGCCTATGTTTTATTGGTTCATTTGATAGTTAGTTAGGAATAGTTTCTAGTCTATAGAGTTTTTTTGGGTGAATTGCAAGTTTGGTCACTCATATTATATATTTGTAACATGTTAGCCACTCAAATCACTTTTCTTTCAATTTAGCCATCGATACTACATGTTTATGTCATCCTTGGTCACTTGCCGTTTAGTTCTGTTAAATCTGTCCTACGTGGCCGTCAACAGTTAAATTTGACTATTAAAATGATGATGTGGCAATTAAAAATTATTATTTATTTAATTAAAAAATGAATAAAATAAGAAAAGGAAAAAGAAAAAGAAAAGAAAAACCCTACGCCTACTCCTCCGCCCCTCTCTCCCTTTTTCTTGGCGCCGCCGCCGATACCATTTTCGAGCAAGTTCCCATGCCTTTGCGCCTCTGTTCCCATATGACCCCCCGCCGCCAATACATGTTGCGAGCAAGATCCCCTGATTTTCGCCACCGAATTACTACCGACCCAGCTCTGAATTCGTCTAAGTGTGTGACGATTGACGGGTCAAGACAAGGGAGGCGGTTCGATGTGAATCGTTTGTCGGGGGAGGAATGAGACGAGGGGGGATGTTCTATCTCCCAACAGCAGTGGCCGGTGGGTATGAATCCTGCGGTACCGGTTAGGAGGATGGAGAATCAGATGGAGCGGCAAGGGGTGGATGAGTGGCAGAACTGTTTCTCCCAGGCGGGGCCGCCGATTGCGAAGGAGGTGGGAAAGCGAGAAAAGGAGAAGAAGCAGAAACAGAATTTCGAAGATCTCTCTTTCAAACATCTCGTCGCCATATCTGAACGCCGACGATCTCTCCGTCAACAGCAAGCATGAAGTAGTTCGTCACGGGGAGCTTCATCTCAGCTCCGCCCTCGAATTTGAAACTCAATTCGGTAACCGACACCTTATCCTGCCCGAAAATGTTGAAAAAGGGTCGCCTGCCACCGTCCTCAACCTGAGAAACTGGTCATCCAGTTCTTAGCGCATGGAACCATCGATGGGATCTGAGAGGGACTAACTCCTTGATTTCAGGGTGGGGAATTGCAGGGGCTTCACCATCACTTTTCAAAGGAAAAAGGAATTCAAAAATACCTTGCATGCACAACTCTAAACATCATCCCTAATCTCAATAGACTCGAAAACAATCCAACCCAAAAATCTCCACCCAGCGGCGGCAAAGACGCCAACGCCGACGTTATCCCCGGTAAAGCGATGATATGGCGTTAAGGTCTGTGGAAATAGTTTATTAGGTTCTCGCCTGTCACCGCCGTTAACCGACCAAACCCTTGCCGGCCGGCGACGCCACCCGTCTTCCTCTCCATAGCAGTCATCCGGAGCGTTATCCGGGATCCGCATCGACGGCGGCGACCTCGTATAACCAGCGGCGAAGCTCATCGTCTTCCCTTCCTAGGACCATCGCCATTGTCGTCACCTTCCCTGTGCCGCCGCCGTTGTTTCCTTCTGCATTTCTCTCCGTCGGTTTCCAGAACGAAATAGAGGATGGAGAAAGAAACAGAGATGTGGAATATTATTTTTTATTTTTTGTATTGTGAAATGGAAATGGAAATGAAAATTATTAAATGGTTATGTTTTTTTTTAAATTGCCACATCATCATTTTGACAGTCAAACTTAACTAGTAACCGCCACGTAGGACAGATTTAACGGAATTAGACGGTGAGTGACCAAGAATGATATAAACGTTTAATATGGATGGCTAAATTGAAGGGAAAGTGATTTGTGTGGCTAACCTGTTACAAATAAGTAATATGGTGACCAAACTTGCAATTCACCCCAGTTTTTTTTTTAGTACGATTCTAGTGTATACAGTTAAAAAAAATTGTTAGTACAATAAAAATTAATGAACAAATTCTCCATAAATCTTTATCTGTTCTCAATATCGAATGAATTGCAATATTATAAAAAAACCAAAATTAAATACCTTATGATAACCCAACCACCGAAAATTAGGTTCTTGAACATTTTATTCTATTACTAATATTTTTTGTAAGACTAATTTCTTTCCCAATCAAAGTAGTTGGATTATAAATAGAGACAAGGAACCATGGAAAACGAGGTGGGGTGGACACATGCATCCTATTCTGTTCTGTCTATTCAAAGTGTTCCACAAAAAAGGGGTTTTGTTGGGTCTTTATCCTTTTTCCCTTTCAGGATTCTCTCTTACTGACTCTGCCCATACAAGTTGCCCAAGCTAGAGCCTTTATTTTTAATAAGACACGTGGATTAAGACTTTTCCAATTTTCGACCCCTATATAATTACTGGCTAGTTGGTTCTTTCCCTTTTTTTTTTTGAGAGATTCTTTCCCTTCTTTTCTCGAAGGGGAATATGCCATTTAATTATTTTCCTGAGTGAATATATTATTTTATCTTTCAAGGGAACGACAACCCATTGGCATTGGATAATTTGATGGGAGCAGATCCAATAAATTCATGTTCAATAATCATGTATAACCCAATTAGAATCTGTCATAATTAGCACTATTTATTTTTCATGAAAAGTCTTTAATTTTTCCCTTTAATTTTTAACGGACGATTTCTCACTCGTTTAAGTCGAAATTTAAATTTTTTTTTTGCACGGTTAGATCGGATTAATTGTACTCTTCAAAATGATATCCACTTTGATATATTTTGGAGCAAAAAAATTGAGCCATTTTTTACTAGTCTATAACATATGGTATTGACGGGTATTGAAATAAGAGCATACCTATGGTATGAAAAAACCAAGACTGTAGGATGGTTGAATACATGATAGTAGAAGTATATTAACTGTCATTTGCGACTTTTAACATTGTGTAATTTATATCGAAATTAGAAGATATGAGCCGATTAAGAAAACAAGTGAAAAATAAAAATGTCTTTAATTCTCCATACTTAAATCTAAATTTTTTAAATAAAAGTTCCAGATTTGGTTATGCACTGTATTTTCAACCAATTTTATTATATATCATATATATGTAAAATGGTTCTAACTTCTTGCATTCTCACGTGGTTTCTCATTGTCTTCTTCTGCCTGGCTTCCTTTGTATCACCTAGTGTGCACTTAGATTTACAATTTCTGGGACAAAAAATCCAATTTGATACATATATTATATACATCTATAGAACAGTGGTTGAGATTATAGTTTAATTTGGACAACTTTGATTTGGTATCAATATATAATATGGCTACAATTTAACTGTCTTTTATGCGATTCGATTTAAATAGGGTATAATTATAAGGTGGATTGCTCAAATAAACACAAACTTTCGTTTTTGTGATAATAACCCTAATAACGTGTTTAGTAAGGGTTTGCCTAGAGCAAAGCCTTAGGAAGTAACGACGAGACTGACCCCTTCTCACTCACCAAGTGCAGAGAGGGGAAGAGGACGCATCCATCAAGAGGAGGTTACCCGAGGAGAGCAGCCGCGGCAAACCTGAAGATGTCAACTGGATCTGGGTAATGAGATGGGACCTCCCATTATATCTGTCTTTAGTTTCATGTCTCAATGAGTATACTGGGAAACTCAAGGATTGTGTTTTATGTTTTGTTGCTCTGGATTGAGGTCGCCCAAGTGTTTAGGGCATTTCACTTGAGAATCTTAAAAATTGTTGTTGTTGATTTTTGGTTTTGACTTGTAAATATGTTTTGGGTTGCTCCGGAGTAACTGGTTTGTGGTTTGAGTTATGATTTGATTTTCAAAAAGGATTTGGTTGTTTCAGTTTCAGGTAATTATCGAAATTATTTTTGTATTTCAAAGAAAGTTTGATTATTATTACTGAACATGGATGTAAGAAGTTTAACACTAACTTCCGGTTGATCTGATTAAGAATGTTAAAATGATAAACATTGAACACTCGAACCTCTGGGATGAATAAATATGTAACAAGCTTAGACAAAGACCACATTTGGTCGTAAAAGGAGAAGAATAGATAAAATTAAGTAAAGACTTGGTGGACCAAGACCTTTGTTTTTTTGTGACCGAGAGAGAGGGAGAGAGATAGAAGGGTGAGGGGTGGTTAGATGGTTGAATGGGTATAAATATCTCTTTCCCTTGGGGTTATCAACATCACCCTCACAGATCAAGAAACCATGGCTTCTTCTTCTTCTTCTCTGCAGGTTGCAGCTGCTCTGCTTATTTCTGTGGCCTGCTTCATCGCAGCCACGAGTTATACGGTTGAGGCGGCGGAGCCGGCGCTGGTCAAAGGGATGTCGTGGAGCTTCTACACGTCCAGCTGCCCGAAACTGGAATCCATCGTCAAGAAACGCCTCCAGCAAGTGTTCAAGAAGGACATCGGCCAAGCTGCTGGCCTGCTCCGCCTCCACTTCCACGACTGCTTCGTCCAGGTAACTAATTACAACTCATTAGTTCTTCATCCTAACTAATTATTAACAGAGAAGAAGCAGTTAAATTAAATGATTAGGATGATGAGATCTATTATCCACTCGAGTTATACTATATACTTTACTATACTGTATACATGCTGGTGATATGTACCCTTGGTTAATTAGTAAGGTAGTGATGATACTATTACATTTCTAGTATATTCTGATTCTGGTCATGATGATATCGTTACTCTGAAAATACAATCCAATCCAAGAGTACCAAGACTACAATTAATGGTTGTGGAGTTAGATTGAAATAAGGAGGGATATAGCTTTCATCAGCTCTAAAATATAGATAAACTTTCATATACAATTTTGTAACAAATTTAGGAAGTAGAGTAGTCAACAACACCTTAATCTCCTTCTATAGGTTTTAAAATATAGATAAATTATATATAAAATTTGTAACAAATTTGGAAAAGTTAATAAGGCTTAGCCCCCTCTTTTTTATAATAGATATGAATCATGTATGTTTTTTTTTTCATTATAAGAGGCTATTTGAGAGATTCAAATCTAACTTCTCCATGTCTAAAATTAGTGATAGTAGCACTAAATTATGCCGTGTTTGCCAGACCTTACCTCCTCTCCAGTTATCACGATTTAAATTAACGTCTTTTATTTATATTTTGGCTCCGCGACCAACTACAACGTATTTGTAATCGTTATTATATTGGTAATGTAATTATTAGTTACATAATTATGCGAGTGTCAAAACATGGGACAAAAAGTTTTCTGGAAACTCGAGCATGAGGTCCCCTGAACATGGGTGTTCTGTTTTGAAGATAAAATTGGAGAGCAGCTGTCTGGTCTGCATTACTGTCACGTTAGCTACAAGATTTATGATGAAATCGACATAATAATAATAATAATAATAATAATAATAATAATAATAATAATAATAATAATAATAATAATAATAATGCAACCGGTCACTCACCGCCACCGAAAGTAATTAATGGCTTATGGGGTGCAACTGGCAACTGCAATAAGTAAGTTTGACGGATGAATTGATGACCTTTGACATGTGTTTTTCTTTCATCATCGATCTTCCCTTCTTTCCGGGGCTTCACAACAGGGATGTGACGGATCGGTGTTGCTGAGTGGATCCGCTGGCGGGCCCAGCGAGGAGCAAGGCGCCCCACCAAACCTCAGCCTCCGACAGGAAGCCTTCCGCATCATCGAAGACCTCCGCGCCCGCGTCCACAAGCAGTGCGGCCGCGTCGTCTCCTGCTCCGACATCCTCGCCGTCGCCGCCCGCGACTCTGTCGCCCTGGTATATACATATATCTTTTTCACTCGTCCTCAACCTTGCTCCAATTTAATTAGGTATGATAATTTAAATCGGTACCCTCGTCGGGTATTAACCGATACGACACTCGATGAAGTGGGTATTATCCGACCGCTGCAGTAGTATGAAACTAGAACATGAGTGCTTACTTTTGACTCGTTTTGTCCTAACCGGTCTCATTTTTGGCTCATTCTATCTCAATTTCTTACCATATATATTCATACTTTTTTTGTTTTGATTTTTCTTTAATTAATTAGACTTTATTTTTTAACTAATTGGACTCAATTATTTATTTTATTATCATTATTTTTCGTTTAGTAAAATAATATGTAAGAATGAGTCAACATGTCTTGTTGTGTTAAACGAATATTTCTTATCCAATCCACCTCCACGTATAACCATACGAACATGAATACGGAGATATTCGTGTAAATTTAACGTTCCCTTTTTTTTTCACAGTCGGGAGGGCCCAACTACAGAGTCCCCCTCGGCCGCCGCGACGGCCTAACCCTAGCCACACGCGCCGCCACCCTCGACAACCTCCCGCCTCCCACCGCCACAACCGGGCAGCTCCTCACCGCCCTGGCCCCCAAAAACTTCGACCCGACCGACGTCGTGGCGCTCTCCGGCGGCCACACGATCGGGATCAGCCACTGCTCGTCCTTCACCCGCCGCCTCTACCCGAGCCAGGACGCCACCATGGACAAGACCTTCGCCAACAACCTCAAGGCCGCATGCCCGCAGGCCGCCGCCGTCGACGGCACCGTCAACATGGACATCCGCTCGCCCAACCTCTTCGACAACAAGTACTACGTCGACTTGATGAACCGCCAGGGGCTTTTCACCTCGGACCAGGATTTGTATACGGATTCGAGGACCAGAGGGATCGTGACCGGTTTTGCAATTAACCAGTCGCTGTTCTACGAGAAGTTTGCGGTGGCGATGGTGAAGATGGGACAGCTCAGCGTGTTGACCGGGTCGCAGGGCGAGATTCGCGGGAATTGTTCGAGGAGGAGCACCGGGGTGGAGTCGGTGCTGGAGTCTGCTGTCGAGGAAGCCGTCGAGATTCTCGCTGGGTTTTGAGGGATTCCGGTGATGTGGAGACAAGATCCCTCGAGTTGAGATCGTTGGATTGACTAGTAATTAGTAAACTTGATTTCAGCCGTTGGATTGATGGCGATGCTAATGCGGCTGAGGTCATGTGTCCCGGCGATCAGTTAGTGTGACTCGATCGGCGGTATTGAGGGGTTGTCACTGTAGTAATCGGAGTTGGTTTCGAGATGGTTGATGGAGCAATACGAAAATTAATAAATAAACATAAAACAATTAGTTGGAATTCGTAGACACGTACGTAGTTTTTCTGTGTTTTCTGAGTTGATGTGTTTGGACTTCGGACTTCGGTTTTTCCTCACAGAGAGCGTTGAGCTTGGCTTTGATAAATTATATTATGTGCAAGGTCTGAAAATTAGAGTTTATGGGCGTTCAATAGTTAAAATATCAAATTAACTAATGAGGATTGCGATCCAATACTTAAAAATATATTAGAATTTGGTCTGATACAAATGTTTATTAGGTCTATTTCTTCAATACTTTTAAATTTTATGGGGAAAAAACCACATTATATTTGATTTTAGGCAAAATACACTTGTATAGCCAAAACTTTCGCGTGTATGCCAATAATAGCCAGATTTGGAGAAATACCACTTATAGCCACTTCCGTCCTATTCTTTAACGGTGTCATCTAACAAATTGACTGGACTAACAGAAACGCTGACATGGCGACGTTTCGCCAGTTACATTGCCACGTGTATTTAACTTTAAAAAGCAAAAATACAAAAATACAAAATAAAATACAAAATAAAAATAAATTAAATAAATTCTTTCTCTTTCCCCTCTCTCTTCTCTCGAGGCCCCTCTTCTCCACCAGAACTCCTTCCTCCCTCTTCCACGCCCCAACCCGTCACTGCCAAGCAAATAGAGGTAAACTCCCCATCTTCCCCACTCAAAGCCCTCGCCATTGTCGGGCAAAACCTTTTGACGCTCACCCAAGTTCAAAGATGTTTGTGAAATTCTCTATCTCTTCATCGAGCTCCTGCTTCCGTCGCTGCCGCTTTGAGTTAGGGATCGGGAAATAGGAGCTCGACGAGAAATTCAATTGGACCTAGGGTATCAGTTTCTCCTCTCTTATAACCTACCGCCGCCGCCGCTTTCTCCGCGGAACCCACCCCCAAATGCCCCCGTCATTATCACTATCGAAATTCAAAATCTAGAATCGCAGAAGAAAGTTCCTGCCGGCGACGGTTCAGATTTGCTATTTGATGGGTCTTTCTCCCTGGCGGTTTCTCTGCTATTTGAAGTGACAGGAGGAAGTTGATGGCCTTCGATTGATCGATGCGAGGGAGCACCGACGGGGATCCCTCTCTCTGTCCTTGACGACCACCACAAGCTCGAGCAGATCCACAAGCTCCTGGCTTACGCGTCTAAAGGCGAGAATCACTCCTTCCGGTCGTGAAAATCCCCCGCTGACCCATCCCCTGGAAATTTCAGAACTGAAGAGCAGCTGTTGTGGAATAGCAGCAAGAGAAGAGTGGGATTTTTTGGGGTAGAGGAGAATTATGGAAATTTTTGTGGATTTTTTTTTTCTTTTGATTTGTTTTGTTACCACTTACCACTGCTAATGTGTGTTGGGAAAGTACAAAAAATAATTTATTTTTTTATTTTTTTATTTTTATTCATTAATTTATGACCTATAATAATTAAATAAATTTAAATTATGATGTGGCATTTTTGGCTTATTTGGCAATGACATGTCCACTGAGTTGGCGCCTAGTCAGCGAACCATCAAATAAATTGACGGTGTTAATAACACTGTTAAAGTATTTAACGGAAATGGCTATATTTGTCCCACAACCACTTTAAAAGTTGGCTACAAGTGGTATTTCTCCAAATCTGACTATTATTGGCACAAACGCGAAAGTTTTGGCTGCCTTGATTTTATATAGCGTGTGTTGATTTGGTCTGGTACAATCTAATACACATTACACACCAACTCGTTACACATCTCAACTAGAGTTCTGCCGATTTGAATGTGAAGTGTCACTTTATCATATTCAAGATTTAGGGGTCGAGTTAAAATACAACAAATATTGATATTCTTTTGTAATTGAGCTCGGTTATTAAAGGAAGATAATTAATATTCTATCCCCTTTTGTTTACCATAAAATTTATATTTTATAGCCTAAAATTAGATATTGAGTCATCACAAGCCACCTTAAATTGGATATAGTATTGTCATTGATTAGTTGGTTGTTGGCTTGTTGCACATGCAAATCTATCGATATTGTAACAAGAGGTGGTGTTACAATTCATGCATTCGAGCCCTGTACTGCACATAGGCCTAAAGTTCAAAGGATTAAACTACTGGACCTTCTGCTTAATGATTTTTGCCCCTTTTTGGGTGTTGGGGGCTAACAATCACATAGGCCCAAACCTCAAAGAATTAAACTAGTTAATAAAGTGAGTATTACTCGATGGCCCTTATTGAATCAAACTGTGCGAATTCAAATTTTTGGGAGATTGTTATTAGGACTTAGGTTAAATCATTTTGAAGAACCACAAATCTGCATTTCAATTGATTGGGAGCATAAAATTGACAAAAAGATTTGCGGGTTGTTTGCTTCATGGATTTGAAAAATGAGCGTTTTGGTAAAACCTGAGTTTTGGAAAACCATGGATATATGATGGATTTGGTGGCATTATGGATTTGAACAAGTCTATTGTTTGCTTGATGGATTTGATTATGGACTTTGTTTGATTAGATTTGTGGATATTAAATACAAATTACCTAGTTACCCTTATTTAATTATATTTCGATATTCTAATCCAAATCTTTCATTTAAAACTAATCCAAAACATAGAAAGAAATTTTAAACTTTTTACCACTATGTGGATTAATAATTCAACTACAAATATAGAAATGTATTACTATTTGGCACTAATTAACAATTCATCTAATAATGTACGCAATATTATGTATCAATTGCAGCCAATTGCTCGCTTTATTGCTACAACTCATCATCTTCTTGCTAACTCACCGATGTGGAATCCGACAATCAATCAAATAATAATGTACAAGATGAGCATAAAGTGTTTCTAGGTGAATCTAACAAATCACATATACATTCATATTTAAATAAAATACGATATTACAAAATGAAATGATAAATTCTCATATTTATAAAATACGAAATTATAAAAGTTTACAGTTGCATGACCATTGAATTAAAGTAGGACAAATTTGTAATTAAAGAAATAATTAAGGGTAGAAAGGTAATTTACCACCATGGATTTTAATCCATCACCCAAATCCCACCTCAAGAGGTGGAACTTCCAAGTCCGTGGGGTCCACAGATTTGGAACCCCAAAAGAGGTGGGCCCCACAAATTCCATCTCCCTAATTCCCTAAGGCAAACGATGGATTTCGGTTCAACTCCATGATGGATATAATTCCATGACCAAATCCATCACCAAAACCCTCAAGCAAACGACCCCTGATGAAAACTTTCAAGGCTTCCAATGGGACAATTGAACACTATACGTAATGGCAATTTTAAATTTTGGATTTATACAGTTGTTTTATGATTTGAATTTCGTACGATTACACACTTGATTCAATCGGCGTCATTGATTAATACTCACTTTGTTATGGTAGTATAGATCACTCGTCTATAAGGTTGTTGAGGGCTTAGATAGCGTCACAACCCCCATAGATGTTGTGATTTTCGCTTCCTCCTTCGCATCCATTAGATCCACTCTCTCTTGGTTTTCCAAATTAACGGTTTAGATTAAATGAAGGGTATTTTTGGAAGAGAAAAACTTACCACACAGGATCCTTTCTCATTTTCTATATAATCTGATTTCCTAAAAAAAAAACTCTTCCTCTCTCCCCTCTCTCTTCCCTCTCCCGAACCTTAACTTCTCTCTGTCTCTCCCTCCCGCCGCCGCCACCCCCTCCCGTCGCCACCGTCGTCGTCTCTCCCTCCCGTCGCCACCGCCGCCATCTCTCCCTCCCGCCGCAGCCGTCGCGTCCTCCGCCTCCCACCACTGTCGCGCCATAACGCTCTCTCCGTCGCAGCCCTCTCGCCTCCCTCCAACTCCTTTCACCGCCATCTCTCTCCCGCCGTCCTCCTCTGCCGCCGCCGCGAGGTAACGACCTCTCCCCTTCATTCTCCTTTCCTCATTCCTTAATTTTTTTCCAAATATGTGATTTTTCAGTTTTTTTATGTTATTCTCTAGTGGTACTGATTTTTGTCTAGTGGTATGCTACCAATGGTAGTGGTAGCGTACCAGTACTCAGTGGTAGCGGTACCAGTGAGTAGTGGTACTGATTTCTGTCTAGTGGTACGCTACCAGTGGTAGTGGTATCGTACCACTTTTCACTAGTAGCGGTACCAGTGGTAGCGTACCACTACTCACTGGTAGCGATACCAGTGGTATTTGTAGCGTACCACTACCACTAGTACGTACCACTGCTACTGGTAGCGTACCACTAGATGAAAATCAGTACCACTAGCGCACTGATAGAGTGGGTTTTTAGCAAATGGCCGGAGCGAGTCTGATTGGAGGATTTCACCGGAAAAAGTCGTCGTCCGGAGAAAGTTTGATGGTCGGACTGAAGAGGTTGTTGGAAAAGATATGATTAAATGAAAAACAAAAATTGACCGTTGAGATCGGCCGGAGCTCATCTAACTACATCTAGCGGCTAGATCACCTGACGTATACTATACGCCTGACGTACACTAGTATTCACCATGTATATATATATATATATATATATAGTGGCGTCTTCGGTGCACTCACTTTTTTTGGTGCATTCAATGCACTCGCTTCATAACCTTCATTTAAAATATGCGATTCATGTCAAAATAATGTCAATCATCACTTATGATGTAGTAAACAATAAAGCACATGAATTTGCACAAAAACCATTTAAGATTTACTTTAATTTGAAGGATTTAGAGTTTAGAGATTTTGGGTTAGGGTTTACAATTTGGGGTTTAGGGATAGAATTCAAAATTGGAGGTCTAGAGCTTAGGGTAATCGGTTAATTAGTTGTTATCATATGTTATATCATCATATTACACTGATTCTACAAATTAAAATTCAAAATTCGACACCTTAAGACTAGTTTTTGAGTTGGGTGCATTGAACGCACTCATTTTTGTGAGTGCACCGAAGTAGTCACCATATATATATAAGCGTATTAATTGTAGGATTTATGGAGGCGGCGGCGGCGACGCGACTGCTGGCGGCGACTGGCGCCGGGACTGCTAGCGGCGACAGCTGCGGTGGCGACTTCAAGGGCGACGGCGGCGAGTTGCAGAGGTGGCCGGCGGCGATTTATGGAGCGGCAGAATTCGGCGGGTGAGAGGAGTTGCAGGGGAAGGGGAGTGATTTTGAATAAGGGCTT